ACTACAGCAGCACGGAGCGGCTCAGCGCTTAGGGAGGGAGTGGCAGAGGAGCAGAATCAGTGCAGCCAAAGTTTCTTTCAGCCGTTTTGCATCAAAAATAGAATTTTTATATCCGCTGCATTTTGTGCCCGGCGCTTAAATGGAGCAGCCTATTAATTGTTGAGGCTCTAATTCTGAGTAGGTGTGTTTTGAGAACGCAGTCACTGTCCTGCTGCTGGAAAGTCTGCCAGTCTTGTTGCCACTAATATGTTGTTGGAGTTAAATGAGTTTTGTTTGCTCCATAAATCTCTCTGGCTTGATTTTAAATGTTTTTTATTCTTTTGGTGAATTTATTCATTAATTGCTGTTTTATCTGTTTGGCTGCAGGTTGGATGAGTGCGCCAAGTTTTACCCCGCCTGCAGAGGTGGCGCAGATCAACCGCATCCATTATGAGCTGGAGTACACAGAGGGCATCTCTCAGCGCATGCGGATACCTGAGACCCTCAAGGTGGCCCCTGAGAGCGGCACGGGGCCCATTCCTGTTCAGCCGCCACCGCTGCTGCACACAACTCTGATGCAGGTTCCTGAAAGAATCGTCGTTGCAGGTTTGCATCATCTCAGCATATAGTGCTTCTCCATCATCAGTGGGGGGGCCAGAAACGGCAGAAAGGAAATGTCCTTTAATTCTGTGTTTTGCTTTCAGGCGATGAAGGAGAATCCAGGTTTGTTCAACCCAGAGACCTGGATCTTATCCAGTCGGTTCCGTCTGTGGACCTCCTGAACATGAAGGCTCCACCGCGTGTCCTCACCCTGACAGAACAGCCTCTGGACTCCCTGGAAACAAACCAGACTGCCAACTCCCAGAGTAATCCCAGCCAGGCTGTGAGTACAAACATGGAGCACTTTGCTTTATAGTCTATGGAAAATAGAGGAGCCTGGACCCAGAGGACCAGGACCGGGTGCCACTGCTGGACCCCATCAAAGACTGACAGAACAAAACTCTCCGATAAATACAGAAAAATTAAAGGTCAAAACTGTTTAGCCAAAAAGATAAATGAAAGAAGGCTAATACCAATCACTAGTTCAGAGGAAAATTATTACGCTTATTAAAGATAATATAGGATATAAGTAATTGTGTGACTCATTTGAGCAGATGATCAGAAAGAGGTAAAAAATTTATAAATATTCACTTCTGGTTATGATGATCAGGGCGACAGAAAAGGATTCTGCACCCATAGAAGGGATCCCACAGATCCTTAAAGTCTTAGGGAAGTCATTATTAATGTCAAATCATTCTGGCTTAAACATGTATATAAATGTTCTCTTTATCAGATCATATTGTCCCAAAATTTAGAAAATTTCTATTTAAAAATAAAATCCTGTCTTAAAATCTGTGGGGTTTTTTTTTTCATTATCTTCTTCAGGCCAGTTAGTTCTACGTCAGCCTGAACACCTAAATTTGGCCAATCATATATCAACGGTCATCTATTGATTCATATGTCGCAGCTAATATACGCAACGGTTGAAACCAGAATCCTTTCCTTTCC